TTGGCTATATAGCCATGATTGCTATCTCTTCTTGGGTAATCTAGGCAGGGAAAGCTCCCACCAAAAGGACCAAAAACAGATACAATATAAAAGCAGAGACAAAAACCACCACAAAAAAACCAAACTATAACCATATCCGACTGTCCAGTAACTTTTGCTGTGCAGCTCAGTGTGCATGTATAGTAGAAACCTGTGTCCACTTACTCAGGCCCCTCCTCTAGTCACCAACATGGAGGTGCACAGAAATGAATGGAAGAAATATTGTCCATTATTTTTATCTCTGAAGGTCAGTTATGTATCTGCATATGCACAGTGTAATTCTCAAAATGACTGCATCCTTGTATATAGTAGTTGGTGTTGGCTTTTGCCTTTTATGTTGGGGTTTTACGAGGTGCAAATACAGTTTGGCTGTATGGCCAGATCTGCTGTCTCTTGTTAGGTAAGGCAGGAATAAAGGGTCCCACCCAGGTCAATTTTAGGGCTAAGTCCCAGAGTCAGACGTCATAAGAAGTAGTCAAAGTATTAGTTTCTGGGACCGATCAGGTTTTCAAGTATTTCCTCTTTGCACTGTGGGAAAATTGTACCCTGTGGGTGCAACGCTGGGCCCTTTTGGGGGTGTGCTCCCACCCACTTGAAGGTGCCTGGGCTGGTCAGAGAGAATGCAACAGGGGAGAGGAGGAAAGAAAAGTGAAAAAAGCCATCGCACCTTTTTCCAGATGCTGCTCCATGGCTTTAGCACTGTATCAGCCTGGCTGTGTGCCTGACCTCTGATCTCAGCCCAGGCTGAGGAGCCCACAGGCAGCATCCCGATCAATTCAGAAATCACCATGTATTCCTGCTACAGATTTCTCCACTGGCAGGCACCAAAAACTGATGCCCTTACTTTGTGTTAGATCTAAAACATTGGAACTGTTCAGGCAAAGCACCTTCTTTTTTTTTTTTTTCATGCTTCCACTGAGGAGGCTCCCCTGCCTGTCTCTGCTTCTCCTGACCCCAAACTGAAAGTCTCTCCCTTCCATCTTCTTTTGATGTTTCCTTCATCACTCAATATTTTTCCCATGTTGTTTTTATTGTTGTGCAGTGCCATCGAGTCAGTTCTGACCCATAGCTACCCTGTATGGGATTTCCGAGGAGCAGCTGGTGAGCTTGAACCACCGACCTTGCAGTGCAAACGGCTTTTTGCAGTGTGGCACATTAACCCACAGCGTCACACCAGGACTCCCATAAAACCCTTTCATATTTAAGCTGAAGCCTGAGTTGTCTTCAGTTCTTCTTGAGAAATGCTGAGCGTGTTCATCCCTTTGGGTTTTCGAACTCCAGGTCTTTGAACATTTCATTATATTTTACTTCACCTTCTCAAGCTGCCCTTTGGATGTTTTTGTTCAGCTTTTATTAATCATTTCTTCCTTTCACTTTAGCTACTATATGTTCAAGAGCAAATTCCAGAGTCTCTTCTAACATCCATTTTGTGATTTCTTTCCTGTCTTTTTAATGACCTTTTGTTTTCTTCATGTATGATGCTCTGATGTCATCCTACAACTCATCTGGTCTAGTGTTCAATCAAATCTATTCTTGAACTAGTCTCTAAATATAGTTGGGATATACTCAGTGTTAGAATCTTGGAGTGGCACTACAGGATAATGCGCTGGACTGCAATGTCAGTTTGAGCCACAAGGTCAGCCATTCAAACCCACTAGCTGCTCCTTGGAAACACAGGGTCACTACAAATCATTACAGACTCAACAGCACTTAACAACATACTCAATATATTAGGAATTGTTCTAATTTTCAACTTCAACTAGAGTGCACATATAAGCAATTGGTCTGTTCCACATTTGGCGCCTGGCCTTGTTCTGATGATACTGAGCATCTCCATAGTCTTTCCAAATATGTAGTGTATTTAACTCCTGTATATTCTATCTGGTGAGGCCCAACTGTGTAGTTATGTTGTTTAAAAACAAAAAGGTGTTTCCAGTAAATAGGTTGTTGGTCTTGCAAAATTCTATCATGTGATAGCTGGTGTCACTTCTATCACCAAGACCATCATTTCCATCTGCAGATCTTTCTTACTTGCAACACACAAGCTACTAACAAACTGACAGATAAGTGGTGGGCTAATGGAATAGACTCCTGGACACTGTTTGGGTTAATGGAATTATGATTTTAAACATTGTCATATAATTGGAATAATGAAATGTAGGAAGGTTACCATTAATGCCTTCCTCCAGAAAACTAACTGATGCTTAAGGTATGTGTAAGCTATTGCATTCCCCATGAATTGGAAAAATCCAGGGTTTAGTTTTTCATATGAAATGGTCAGAATGGAAAAATCCAAGGTTTAGCTTTTCATATGAAATGGTCAGATTGGGAAAATCCAGGGTTGTTTTTCATATGAAATAGTCAGTAGATTTCCATAGGCATGGATGTGTAAAGCACATGAAAACAACTTTGTATTCAAACACCAGGTAAATAATGATTCAAAACCTCACTTTCTGTAAACATGCTATTTTCCAATACTATGTTTTGTCCAGGGCCCTGGTGTGATACTGTAGGATAAGCACTGGACCGACTACTGCAAGGCTGGCAGTTCAAACCTACCAGTAGCTCTTGGAAATCCAATGTAAAGCTGCTATGAGTCAGAACTGACTTGCTGGTACACGTTTTATCTGGAGTATAGATCTGATATGGTATAAATGGTATCCCAATACTAAATATGAATTAAACAGAACGAAAAAATTCTCCATTCCTCATTCCCAAGCACTCTAACTTGCATCTAACAATTTCTCTTTCATTAACTCTTTAATGGACATGTGAAAACAAGGCCTGCTACTAACAGGACTAACAGACTCGCTCACAGCCATGAAGCAGGTGGCCTGTGGATTGACATTTTATTTTCTTCTGCTAGTGTGTTTTCTATTAGGCCTATAAGGATAAGCACCAATCATTAGCTACTGACCAAGTGAATATGAAGAAACAAGTCAAAAGCATTTTCCTTGTTGGGGGTGAGGAGTAGAATGGGATGGAAGCCCAGCCTGCAGCTGTCATGCACACTGGGCACCGTGTCGAGTGTCTCCTCCCCAATATCTACAAGAGCCCTGCCGGCACCGTTGCCCTGGTGTCCTTGTTTTCAGCACTGTGGTTCAGAGGCCACCGAGGTTTCAAGCAGAGCACAACATTGAAAGAAACAAGAGGCAGAGCAGATTTACTTTCTGCTGACAGTGACAGACACACATGGCATAGACTTTTATAGAAATGGCCAGTGTCTGCATGCTCGCAGCTTTGCAGGCTGTGTGAGAACACTTTTTATTGGTTTTATAGCAGTATGGAATGATGAAGCTTGCTTTAGTGGTGGCAAGAATGACCATATGGCTAAAGAACAGACCCTGGGGATCAGATGACCTGTACACACACAAATCTAAGGTAAAACTTTATTAAAATTACATTTCTTATTTGTCAGTACTTTAAAGTCAGACCTCATGTACAATCATCATTAAAAATTCTATCAGTACCAAACTGTGGAAGGCTCCAGCACTTTGAAAACAGGGCTGAGAGTTCTGAGCCACAAGGGTAAACTTGAGACTGGGTTAGCCCTGACATTATCGCTGCAGAATGCAAGGACTAAGTTCTGCCAGTTCTGCCACAGCGAGGAACTGATGAAAGGATTTCATTCATGAACGCTGCAGCACTGTCACTTGATCACCAGACATGAGGTTTCTGTCCCTGGAAAGACTTATGACTGGTAGAGACAGAGGACAGTTGGTGGGCCAAAATGGGTCCACAGAATACTTGAGAATCCTCATCAGGCCAGAAGCCTAGAGCTACTATCAGTCATGTGAGTCTCCATCAAAGCATAGCAGCACAGTCTCATCCCTTGAGCCCCTTCCTCACTCTGAAACCCAGCAGAGAGAAGAAGGGAAGTTGGTGCAGGTGGAGGTAATGCTGCTTCCCATAATCCTGATGCTCTAGATTATACCCAACAAGAGAGTCAGAGTGAGGAGTGTGATCCCACTTAGAAGATGATGGTTCTACTTCAAATGAGAGTAGAGTATCTTGGGAATATCCAGGATGCCTATCTTGAAACTTAACAATGTGGAGGCTATGCCAGAATGAAACAGGAATATTCTACTAAAAATCCTGATGAGTATTTTAGTTTTAAAGTACCACACAGAAACTTTAAAACTTTAACTGCTTAATATGGTACACATACTAAGCTGACTTTTAAAGTGACCTTACATCTTGAATGGGTTAAGCAATCATACATAACATGGGTTGTTGGTGGTGGTGTTGTTAAGTGCCACTGAGTCGGTTCTGACCCATAGTGACACTGTATAGGGTTTCCAAAAAGCAGCTGGTGAATTTGAACCACCGACCTTGTGGTTCACACTGACCTTGTAGTCCAGCACACTACCCTGCAGTACCACACCAGGACTCCATAGCAGGGGTTGTTGTTGTTAAGTGCCGTTGAGTCGGTTCCCACCCATAGTGACCCTGTGTAGGGTTTCTGAGGAGCAGCTGGTGAGCTTGAACTGCCGACCCTGCAGTTCAAATGGCCCTGCAGTCTGGTGCATTAACCGACCTTTTGTCTGCCAAGGGTCATTTGGATATTTATAACATTACTTAATATAAATTTATGTTGCTATGAAAAAACCTCCTAGATTTACTGAATTTTGAGTCCTGCCTGTGGCTGCCTTGGCAGGGTCAGACCAAATGATTTTGTGGCTTATATGGCCTATGGGCCAGATGTTCCCCACCCGATTTATAACTATCTTCATAAATCATGCTCAAGTCTGTTTTTTTCTGATGAAATTGTGTATTTCACAACACACAGCCATCCAAAGTCAAGTGCACATACAGGTTCAAACAAAAGTACTAGGCTGTATTTAGCCTTTCAGAGTAAGTGCATAGGGCTGCTGGCTCACACAGTCTAGTTCACCAATGGTAAGAACAGCAATTACTCTGTTTTAATAAAATTATGGGCAGAATTTATATGACATAAACTAGACGTCCTTCCATAAAGTTTAAGATTTAGGGTAAAAGAAGGGAAAACAAAAACACGAAATTCTCATGAAAAATAATTCCACATAGTTCTTGTACTCTGTGAAACCCTGAGATGAACTGTATTCTCTCAAACATGTGTACTTGGGTCCAGTTCCCAAGTTGAACCTCAGTGAGCTTCAAACTGGCTCATCATCAACTTCCTGCTGTATTCGTAGGCCAAAAACAGTGCCCCATTGGCAGGGAACGCACGAATCATAGTAGGTTTCAGTCCAGAATACAAGGCTGTTATTCCTACAAAATAATATAGATACAATAAGATAATACAGTATAAAAGTGTGAACAAAGACTGAGACAATCCCCTTCTTGAAGATTCCCACACAGCTGCAGAACACAGATATTTTCACGCTCTATAGAGCATCACCAAAGCCAAAAAGCAATGAAAGCATGCATTTCCAGATGTCCCTAAATAAACTCATGGAAACAAGGACACTTATCAGGCCTCCCAGATAAGCTCATTCATGCCTGGTTAAATTCTGGTAAATGCCTTGGGCAGAGCTGAGGCCTTACGAGGCGAGACTGGAACTCCAGTTTTTGCATACTACTATATTATTACTAGGAGCTCTGGTAGTGTAGTGGTTACGAATCGGGCTGCGAACCTTAAGGTCAGCGGTTCGAAACTACCAGCCGCTCCGCGGGAGAAAGGTAAGGCTTTCTACTCCCGTAAAGATTTACACCCTCAGAAACCCTGTACAGGGTTGCTATGGGTCGGAACCGACTCCTACAGCACTTAACAACAACAACAATATTATTACTGGAGTCCTGGTGTGGCACTGCAGGAGAATGAGCTGGACTGCACGGTCATTTGAGCTGCAAGGATGGCAGCTCAAACCCACCAACTGCACCTCAGAAACCCTATACAGGGTCACAATGAATCAGAACCGACTCGACAGTACTTAAAAACAACAGCAGCAAATATTATTATTGGGAGTCCTTCGTGTGGTACTGTAGGATAAACACTGAACTGCAAACTGTGCTAACCACAAGGTCAGCAGTTCAACCCCTCAGTCACTCTATATAGGGTCCCTATGAGTCGGAACCAACTTGATGGCATGCAACAACATTACTGGGAGTCCTGGCAGGATAAGGACTGGAGTGCTAACTGCAAGGTCTGTGGTTCAAACCCACCAACCGTTCCTTGGAAATCCTACACAGGGTCACTAAGAGTAGGGACTGACTTGAAGGAACTTAATGACAACAACAATATACTATTGTACTCCAGAGTTTTACGATGCAGTAGTGGGTGCTGGAATAACAGGTTTCATACAGTTGGCTTTATACAAATCCTGACTTAGAAAATCCTTACCCTCCTGCTTAATTTTAAAAACTGATTCACCTTCAGAAATAAATAAATCCATGGTGGTATGGTTAGATCACCTGATAATATCTATGTTATGTAAAGCAGGTGAGTGTTAACCTCAAAGCATTTGCACCCTTAGGCAAAGTCCATGTTTTTTAAAACTCTTTCCAGAGGATCTATAACAAACCAATAGGAATGTTAAGAAAGATTAAGGGTTATAAGAGCTAAAGCAAAGAATCAAGAAAGACAAATCCACAAATTTCAGTTCATCCATACCACAGAACAGCATTCAAGATGGACAAAAAGGCCAATCAAAGGAGATAAACCTCCAGGACTATCAATGAGAAGACCACACACTCCAGACATACCTACTCTTTTCTTGCAATCAGTGACTCACCTTCATTTTTCAGTACACTTACAAAAGTTCCAATAAAGCCCGCCTGTTTTCCAGACATGGAAAGAACCTGAATTCTAGATTTGATACAGTCCACTGGGTATACAGCCAGCCAGAGGCAAATTCCACCCACTCCACCACTTAACATCAAAGGGACAGGGCCTGGAAAAGAAAAGAGCAAACAGTATTTTGTCTCTAGAACAAGCGACATGTCCCAGGTCACTACAGTAATGGCTACAGGTCAGTGAAAACACAAACACAAATCCTGAGAAGTGCAATTCTGGGTCTCTTCAGGACAAGAAGTCCTAGTGAGGGCTGTTTCAGGCTGCTAGGAGGCACTGGCCCATAGGTGACCAGCTGGCCCACAGCAGGTGGCAACACTTTACCAAGATGAGAAAAGAGGTTAAAGACCATAGCCACATCTTTTTCAGCTTTCTCAAAGTATTTTTAATACTTTAACATTTTCTTCCTTTAAAAAGCCACGATTCTCTTATTAAACCCAAAGTTAAATCTAGGTTCTTTTAAACAGATCAACATCACTGAAAGGAGATAAGAAAAAAATAACTCACTTAAGTGACTCAAGCATTCCATACACTTGTGTCAAACAGAATAAGATTATTTATAGTGATTTCCCCATGAGAAAATAATTTCTGTATTTCTTATCCCCCTAAATTAGATCCAGAGCAAATTACCCAGTTTTACTCCAGTAAATTTGGGAGGTGCTGCTCCAGCCTCTAGTCTGGGGGAATTGTGAGGCCAAGAGGAAGGATGCTAGCTAGTGGTATCCTACATTGCCTTCCTTTATCAAGAAACTCCTAGTGCTAGACAGGCCTCACCACCAGAGGGCGCACAATGCCAAGAGACCAGCAGCAGCCACGTCACTAGTGAGGGAAAACATACTCAACTATTCTTACCTAGTTCATCTTTTGACCTCCCAGATGCAAAAAACGACCGACTCAGTTCATAGCCGCCGAAGAAGAAAAAATAGCCCGGTACTTCTCGAAGTAAAGTGCTTGAGAGTCCATGGTAGAAGCCCAACGGGCCATCCTTCCTAAGGATACTCTTCACAACAGACCAAACTGTACTGGGAGGAGAAAGTGAGCAAGATAGTTATGGTAGTGATGATGCATGGAGGGGATAGTGATCATTGCAATGAAACAAAATACGATAGGATGAAAGTAAAGATAATGTTCACCCATGGAAACTAACACATAATTCACACAGAAAACTTTTTTTTAAAAAGATAGTTATTGCAGATACCCAGTCAGTGGACTGTTTAGGCCCGTGAGGAAAGCACTGACTTCACATACAGAGGGGCCAGCCTTCTGTGGAAAGTATTTTAGAGATGTACAAATACTTACATATACTATGTGACAAGTCTTGTCACCTACATTATTCCATGGTAAACAGTTTATTAAAATAGCTGCATACATCTCTAGATTCGATTCACATTCTCAGATACATAAAAGGGCTAATGCCCATTTTTCTATAATGAAATAAGGAGAATTAAAGTTACTTAAGGAGTTGCTCAAACTCACCAAGAATAAAATGGTATTTTATTAGCCCATTCCCTTACCTACCCCCAACTCCTATCTCTTCTTTTTTTTCCTGTGGTGTTTTATGGGAATTCATTCAGTGCTTGGTGGCAGTGGTTATGTGCTGTGGAGTTGGTTCCAACTCATAGTGACCCTGTACAAGGTTTCTGAGGTTGTAAATCTTTACGGAAGCCTCATCTTTCTCCTGGTAGTTTCAAACTGCTGACCTTGAGATTAACAGGCCGACTCGTAACCACTATGCTACCAGAGCGCCTTCGTTCAGTGTGTAGGGTTTTGTTTTAGAGCAGAGGCATGAGCAAAGAAGTCAATGTTACTTGACGGCAGACAAAAGATTTCTAAGATTTGACCTACAGCTGTTATGATGTGATGGTAATTGACCTTGAGTAGAACTAAGTCCTGCTACTGTAGCCACCAGAATACAGGGCCCCTTTCCATCGCCAGATTCCTTCTCCTGCTAACAGGGTTTCTTTCCATGAAGACCCAGAACAGATAACTCCAATCGGCTTGGAGAAAAGAAGGATCAAACACCAAGATAATAAAAGCCTCATGCTTTTAATGACAATCCTCCTTCTGAGGACTTCAGAAGGCTTCATCAGGTATTACTTCCTGCAATTCTGCTGGCATTCTAGACTGTGGAATGAAACAAAGCAATCCACCTCAACACAACCACCTGCCTTCCAATCCAGTCTTAAAAGCCCAAGGCTGCCAAATACCCCAGGCGTGGGTACTGTGATACTCAGAATATAAAGTCATATTTTGTATTTTATACATTCTTGCAAGGTGTCCATCTGCCTAAATTCTTTGGATTTAAAAATTACTTAAAAAAATATCTTAAGTATTATATGATCCAACTTATCTAAAGGATCTAGAATAGACAAATGCACAGAAATCACACTTCATTAGTGGTTACCACAGGTAAGAGGCAGGGGCAAGAGGTCTCACCGGTTAGGAGGCACTGAGCTGCTACTAAGACCGAGAAACTGTGGAAATACACAGCACAGCAGTGACAGTGCATAAGATGAATACGATTAAAGTCATTAAATTGTACATCTGAAGAGTGCAAAAATGGCAAATGTTTTCTTAAATACATATTTACTACAATAATAATAATAAAGCACATTAAACTACTTGAAAAGGATATGAGATAAACTTTCTAGGTGCTAGTAATATTTTACCTCTTAATCTGGCCAGTGCTACAAAGGCATGTTCATTTTACAAACTTGTTGTTTGTTTTTCTTAATCACATCTGTGTATGAATTCACATTATGGCATGTTATTTCAATACAGAGTTTAACAGTTACACTTTTAGATTTCTATAAGTATAAGTAACAGACTCAAGTGTGTTGGTAGGAAATCTCAGGGGTGCAGAAAATAGGTCTCTATCACAAACTCCACTCTCGCTGGGATGAGGCTAACCAACCTGGAGATCATCAATTTATCTACTGCTGTTTCCCAGGAGATGCACAGGCTTTGCGTTAACCGCCTAACAGCCAGGGTCAGAGCTCCTGTTAGCCAAGTATCAACGTAAATAAGCACGTTTTTGGATTAATAAAGGAAATACACTACTTTTGACTGATCAAATCCATCATGTTGTGTATGACATAAGCACCCGCATGGAATACCCAGAATCTTCTCACAAGACTGTGTAGTGATATGCTCCTGAAGGGCAGCTCTCCTTCACAAACTCCAGGGTAAATGCTTTCAGAACGTGAGTCCTTCCCACCGCTTGTGGGGGAGGAGAGGTAAAGGAAGAAGACCCTCTGATCTGGCTGGTCAGCATGAACACCTATGTGAGACCCTGGAACGGGCATCAATATTTATCTCAGAATCCAAACGGGCACTTGTTCAAGGCTCAACTCTCAGACACAAGTCGACTCAATAATGCTAACAGTGGGGACAAAACCAACTTCAAAGCTGTCTGCTATATGCCCCAAATGCAGTGAGGGGTGCTGTCTAGAGACCCAGGCAGTCAGAGGAGCTAAAGCTCCTGACTTCTCCACTTCTGGAGGAACATGGATTCTATGGGTTAGTAGGTCCAGCCATCACACAGTCCTTTCAGAAAATTAAGTTCTGACTAATTGGGGAAAGCATTCTAGAAAACACAATTGTGACAGTTAAGGTTTTGTGGCAACTTTGGTGGATTCTCAGTGGTTTGGCAGTTAAGATGTAGTAATCTCCCATGTGTGGTGCTGTAGAATAAGCACTGGACTGGCAACCACCAAGTCAGCAGTTCAAACCCACCGGCTGGTCTTAGAAACTCTATAAAGGGTGAGAACCAACTCAACAGCACACAACAACAACACCCCCCCCCCCATGATGAAATCTAATGTAATGTCATCGTGGCCATGGCGAGATCTGGTATGAGCAGCCAGTCACTTGAAAGGACATTTCCTCAGGGGTGTGGCTTGCAGCATCTTTCATCCTACAAAAGGAGAGAGAAGTGAGCAAAGATGACCCACTACCATCAAGAAAGAAGAGCCGAGAGTGGAGTGTGTCCTTTGGACCTGTGACATTCTAGAGCCAGGCAAAGACTGATGCCAAGACACATGGAAATCTCCAAAAAATGCTGGGCCTACAGAGGCTGAAAGGAGACAAGGCCTGCCTTTAAGTCAGTACTCCGGGTTCGGACTTCTAGCCTCCTAAACTGAGAAAGAATACATTTCTGTTAGTTCAAGCCATCTACCTGCAGTATTCCTGTTATATAATTAACTAAGGCAATGATCAAGAATATTTTGGAATAGATATGTGTCCATGTCTGCCACTTGGTTACAATATAAAATTAAATAAATACACCAAGGCAACAGAGGCCTGAGTGCTTGTGCCCGAGTGGTGCTTACTTCTGGCTCGCTGCTATCTTTCCTGATGTCTCCATCTCATACATGGTCTGCAGCCGACACTTCACCAGCTCCGTAGGGCAGAGCACCAGTGCAGCAAATGCAGAGGCGAAGGATCCGGCAGCCGCATTCTGAAGGTCACTGAAAGGACACAAGCACAGGAGACAGTGGCTGTCGGGTCACTCTTCCCTCTGACACCTGCCACGTAGAAGGCACCAGGGGAGGTAGAGAGAGCAACAGTGAGGAAGGGAAATGCCTCCTAGCACCCACCAGAAACACCACACGCTGCTCCATCCATAGTTGCATGGCCTATGAAGGTGAGAGCAATACCTCAATTTCCAGATGGGCAGAATGGTGCTTAGAGGTGATGTGTATGTGCCCAAGACCCACAGTGAACAAGTGGAAGATGACTCAGGTTGACAGGAAAATCCATACTCTTTTTATGAGACAAGTTATACAAACTAGCACCATGTCATGAAAGATTGAGGAAGAAAATTACCCCCAGTACCACCACTCAAATACATGCACCATTCACACTCTGGTATAAAAGTCAAACCAGGCTCTGAAACAATCTCAACATGTGGTGTGTAATGGAACTGCCTAAAACACCCAGAATAACAAGGTAACAAATGTTGTAGCCAAGCCAGACCATGCCCCCGCTCAGCTGATGACCTCCTCACTCTTACAGCAGGGAGGCAAGAGGAGGTACAGTGGAGCTGTGGGGTCAACAGTTGTAGGGGAGATAGTTACAGTGAAAATCTAATCTAAATCGGGAGTGAATGGACATAAATTTAAAAATCACATAACCCCTTACAGGTTTTAGCACTACCAGCCACTGTCTCCAGTGGGATTACAAAATTAGAATATGGTAAGAGTTCAAGAATATGAAGGGAAGTCTGAGAAATAAATGCTAGAAAGACTTCTCTGAGGATGAAAAAAACAAAAACAAAAAACAGGCGCTACTGAGTCAATTCTAAGTCCTGACAACTCTGTTTGTGTCAAAGTAGACCTGGGCTCCAGAGGGTTTCCAATGGCTGATCCATTGGAAGCAGGTCACAAGGTCTTCCTTACAAGGCATCTCTGGGAGACTCAAACATCCAATCTTTCAGTTGACAGTTGAACACATTAACCATGTACACCACCCAGAGGCTCAAAAAAGAAAATCCCTTTTGCAATCCTGTCATTTTGGATGGGCTGATTCCTCGTAATGCAGACAAGATTGATCAATTCACAGCAGGACAATTGACTCCTGACATCCATTGAATGCCAGCATCTTATGGAATAACAAAAGGCCCCCAGGGGTGATGCCACACTCAACCAATTGCCCTAGGTAGAGAGAGCTGTGAACAAAAGTCTAATTGTACCTAAACACTCAATGTTCCTCACGTTACAGTAGTATTAAACACAAGTACAGAATCAAGTCCCTAAGCTATGGCTCTGGCCTTTGCTGTGGTGGGGCCACCAGGGGGCCAGTCTCTCCTACACCCATGGCCCTAAGAAGTTGGCTTGGAGTCAAAAGCTTGCTTTCAAGAGGACGTCACTGCTTCAAAGCACTGGACTACCTTTGGATCCTGGAGAATGAAACATAAGATCAGATAAGAACTAGATACACACAGATTTATGGAATGTAGAAATATTGTCAAATGCTATTGGGGCCATTTCTTCTTCTCACTTCATTCCAACTAAGCTTCAGATGGCTCCTGAGGTCCTACGGCCAACCTGCAGGGCCATAGGTGGCCTTTCTCAGGGCCTCTGTAAGTCAGCTGACACATAATAGTCAGCTAACTAAGGTCATTAAGCAGAGTGGCCTAAGTTTGTTGGAACAAAGGTAACAGTCAATAAATGTGAGATCTCTTATCCCCAAGCTGTGGTAAGGATGGCTTAGACTCCTGGACCAATGCCAAGCTTGCTATACAGGGCAATGAGCAGGCCAGATCAGATAGGCTGGGGATGTTGGCGTACTAACGAGGACTTTCATCTACCAGTGCACGCACATTTAAAACTGGAGTGGAAACAGCATAGGATGGGGTTTTGTAAGAATCAACTGTTTGTCTCCCATTCAACAAACATGTATCTGAACATTTCTGCTGTGGAAGACTCTGAGCCAAAGGTCAAGCCTTAGTCAGTGTCCTCCCAGGGACAGGCAAATATTTACCCTCCTACAGGAGCTCTGGTAGCGTAGTGGTTACGAATCGGGCTGCGAACCTTAAGGTCTGTGGTTCGAAACTACCAGCCGCTCCGCGGGAGAAAGATGTGGCTTTCTACTCCCGTAAAGATTTTCACCCTCGGAAACCCTGTACAGGGTCGCTATGGGTCGGAACCGACTCGATGGCACTTAACAACAACAACAACAACACAGAAATCCCAGCAGACTCTCACAAGCAGTGCTGCCCTCTTCTGCTCTTGCTCTTGCTCATACTGCCTTCTAATCCGCCCTCTTCCAAACAATTCCAGCTGCCCAAGGTGATTCTGAGCATACTGTTCTCTGTACCTGTTTCCATCCTTAAGACAAGAGACTAACCCTGGGTTTGCTCATCTCTGTGTCAGAGCTTTGCAAACTCGGAGGCAGTAACAATCACTGCAGGATGAAAAAGTCCTGTGCTCAGAAGATGAGTGCTGGCTTAGAACAAGTTAAGCAGGATGGTTTCTGGAACAAATAGAATAACATGTACATGACTCAGATAACTGCCATGTCCACAGAGGAGTTCTCTGCTCTCTGCCATATTGCCCAGCCCTCTTTGAGGGACGCCAATTTGATATTCTGACAACCATAATCCATAGCTATTGAGTCCAATCCAACTCTTAATGACTGTGTAGGAGAGTATAGAACTGCTCCACAGCGTTTCCCAGGCTGTAAATCTTTATGGAAGCAGACTGCCAGATCTTTTCCCAACAGTGACTAGTTGGCAGCTGACCTTTCTGTTGGCAGCCTAATGCTTTACCCACTGCACCAACAGGGCTCTTTGCTCTGAAGGCAGTGCAGAGGGATGCAGCTGTCGGAATTACGCTATTTATCAGCAGAGCACTGTGCTCTTCCTTCTCTTCCTTCTGTTCACAGCCTAAGAAACCAAAGGTTGGAGGCACCTTGGAAGATAGGCCTGGCAATCTAAAACGACAGGTCATTGAATACCCATGGAGCACTGCTCTACTGACATACATGGGGCCATCATGAGTCAGAGTTGAGTTGACATCAACTGATTTTTTAACTTCTGTATACTTTGGGAGCCCTGCTAGCATAGTGAATTATGAGCTGAGCTACTAACCTCAAGGTAAGCAGTTCAAATCTACCAGTCACTTCACAGGAAAAAGATGACACTTTCTGCTCCTGAAAAGATTTATATCTCGGGAACCCTCTGCAAGATCTCTATGAGTTAGAACTGACTTGAGGGCATAAAGCCACCAGACATGTGCTTGAGGGTTCCACATGCAGCCTCTTCTTTAGCTCAGTGTCCCTGAAAAGGACACGTTTGGACCTTCAGCCGTCCCCAGCATACAGTTCTATGTAAAAGGGGATCTACTTCATCACAAGACCTGTAATTGCAATCAGCTCTCCAACTCCTACTGACACAACCAGTGAGGCTACCCTTTGCCACCATGATGCTAATGTGACCTTTTTAAAGGATTCAGAAATACACCAGTGTCCATGGGTGGAATCACTAACCATCCCAGGGGTTTCTGGATCATTTCAGTCTCAGGATAATAAATGCCTAAGAGATGACCCAACACAAGTCTCGTCTCATGAGTTTAGCAGGCAGCTTCTGGAAGTTTCTCAGATGCCTCAGACCCTTCCTAAAATCTTAAGTTTCTCCTCAAATACATTTGAGTTGGGAAACTCCTTCCAATCCTCTACAGTTTGGGGATGACATGGAACTCACAAGTTGGGTTCCCAGTTGTATCTATGGTTTAAACCCAGCACTTCTGCCCATGGAGGCAGTGACATAACCAGAACACACTCCTGAAGAACAAAAGAACATCTAGGTAGCTCACGCTCAACTTTCCTTTGTTGTATGTACTGAGTATGTATTTCCAAGTTTGCATGATGAACCTCTATTCATAGGTCACATGATCCTATCTCACAGAAGATCCAAAAGAATCTGTAAGAAAACTTCCAGAGTGAATAGAGAAATTTAAGAAAGTTGCAAGGCAAAAGTCAACAATCTTAAATCAGCTGGGTTCCTATACACCAGCAATAAGAAATCTGAAATGGAATTAAAGAAATCATTTCCATTTACAATAGCATCTAAGAGAATAATATACCTAGGAATAAATATAACCAGGAATATGAAAGACTTATACAATGGAAATTATAAAACATTGTTTAAAAAATTAAAAAATAATAAATGGAAAGCTGTTCCACGTCATGGATTGAAAGACTTCATAGTGTTAAGATGTCAATACTACCCAAATTGATCTACAGAGTCAACACAATCCTGATCAAAATTCCAACAGCCTTCTTACAGAAAAGGAAAAACTAATCGTTAACTCTATACAGAATGGCAAGAAGCCCCAAATAATTAAAGCAATGCTGGAAAAGAACAAAGTAGGAAGATCTACATTTCCTGATTTAAAGACATATTATATATCTACATATCAAAACAGCCTGTTATTGGTATAACAAAAGACACTCAGACCAGTGGAACAGAACTGATGGTTCAGAAATAAATCCATACATCTATGGTCCACTGGAGTCCTGGTGTGGCACTGTGGGTTAATGTGCTGGGCTGCAAAGTCAGTTTGAACTGCAAGATCAGTGGTTCAAGCTCACCATCTGATCCTTGGAAACCCTACACAGAGGGTTGCTGTGGGTCGGAACAGACTTGACGGCACTCAACAACAGCAACATGAGCCACTGATTTTTTTTAAAAAGAGTGCTAAGACCATTTGATGAAGAATTTTTCATAAATGGTGCTGGGAAAATTGGATTTCCACATGCAGAATATTGAAACAGAAGCTAAGCCTCACACCATACAGAGAAACAAATTCAAAAGGGATCTAAGAACTAAATGTGCAAATTAAAACCATAAAATTATTAAAAGAAAACGCAGGAGCAACACTGTTGGGTCTAACTATTAACAATGGAATTTTTAATATAATAAAAACACAAACAGCAAAAAACAAAATAAATAAATGGTAACAAAAACTTTAAAACCTTTTGTTCATCAAAAGACTTTACCAAAAAAGTGAAAAGACAAGTCATGTAGTCAATAAAAATATAATTGTTGTTGTTAAGGGACATCACTATTAAAAACAACAATAAATGTTGGCAAGGTTGTAGGAAAATTGGAACCCTTATCTATTGCTGGTAGGAATATAAAATGGTATAGCCATTGTGGAAAACAGTGTAGTGTTTCCTCACAAAACAAAAAGTAAAACTACCATATGACCCAGTCTCTGGAAAAGGACATCAGGTATGGCAGAGAAACAGTGAAAAAGAGGGAGCCCCTCAACAAGATGGACTGACACAGTGGTGGCACCAGTGGGATCAAATATAGCAATAATTGTGAGGAGAGTGCAGTGTTTTACACTGTTGCATGTAGTATCACTGAGTCAGAATCGACTCGATGGCACCTGACATGACCCAGCAATCCTACTTCTAGGTATATACCCAAAAGACTTGAAAGCAGACACTCAAACAGATACTTTGGACACTTAATGTTCATTGAGCATTATTCACAACAGCCAAAAGATAGGAACAACCTAAATGTCAAGAAAGTAATGAATAAACAAAATGAGATACATACACACACAATGGAATACTACTCTCAGCCAGTAGGAGAAACGAGGTCTCAATATATGCTATAATACGAATGGAGCTTGAAGACATGATGTGGAATGAAGGAAGTTAATCACAAAAGGACAAATATTGTATGACTTAACTTTAATAAAAAGACTAGAAAAGACTAATGTTTGTTAGTTACCAGAAGCAGGAGGGAGGCAGGAAAGGAAATGTATCACTATGGAGTAGTGAGTTGCAGTTTAAGGTGAAGGAAACTCTCATTGATTAAGGGTATGGCTGACAGCTGATTAATGTAATTGCTGTCAAGGCATACAATTATATACCTGTAGAAAGTTGAATTGGCAAAAGTTGTATGATATGTTTACAACAAAGACCAAAAAAAAAAAAAGGACAACAACTATCTGCTGAGGTTGGCAACCAAGCACCTCGTGGGATTTTGTTGCTTGGTTTGGAAGTTTAGGATCATGGCTCTATGAGACTTCCATAATTGGCTTAATATGTTTAGTGCTTCTCTTCTAGCTCATTGTGAAGTGCCTGGGCTCTTAAAAGTTTACATGTGGCCACGAATGGTGGAACCAGTAGTCTCTATTCACCTGTGGCAATAGAAAAGGAAGGAAGAGTGAGGACCAGAAGAGGAAATGGAATGTGTGACGTACTGCCTCCACAAACAACTTCCTCCTTCACTATGAGCCCAGAAGAAATGATGCTGCCCAGCAACCACTACTATATAATCAACGGATCTATAGAACAACCCTGATCAAAAGGGGAGAAACGCAGAATAGAATTTTAAATTCTCATGTAATCCAAATTTTCTGGAGCCCTGGAGGCTGGATGAACCCCTGAAACTATTTCCCTGAGATAATCTTTAAATCTTAAACCTTAAAATAAAACTATCCCTGAAATCTTAAGACCAAACACTAGTTTAGCTTCACTAGTAAAGAATGTCTGACTGGAGCACTGAGCTTTTCAAATCTCTCTCTATGGGATTAAGTTGACAACAGCAACTCAAAAGATTAGGTGGGAAATGTACGGATTAGTGAATTTATGGTAATGGTGAGGAAAAACTCAGAAAAGGAAGATGAGAATGGCTGCACAATTTGAATTACACAAGCAACGTTATAGAATTGTACATGTAGAAATGACTGAATTGGTACATATTCTGCTGTGTATATCCTCAACTGCAACAATAAAAATAAATTATGAAGGAAAAATCTATAAGATGACAATGTATCAGAAAGAAAGTTTCTACTTTAGAAAATAAAATGTTCTTCCTCATTGGATATCCTAGAAAGTTTGACTATACTGAGGTGGCTTCTTTAAAATTAAACCAAACTCAGTCAGTGTCACTGGCTCACCTGAGTTTTGCCTGCTTGTCCAACCCAATCACGTTCCTCACCACCTGTTGGCAGAAGCCGTAGCACATGAAGAGGACGGAGTTCTCGGCGATGTTGGCAATCAGCGCAGGGCTGGTGCCCTTGTAGAAACCCCGGAAGCCCACCTGGGAGTAGGTCTTCAGGCAACAGTCAGTTAAGCCTTTGTACAGGGTGGGGAAGGTCTGCATCTTCACCTTCATTGTATCAAATGGCTGCCCAGTCAGGACACATGCGGTACCCCCTGAAAACCAGGACAGAATGTCACAGCTCGGTCCACCCAGGACAGCAGGTCACAGCCTGGACCACCCCAGGACAGCACGTCCCAGCCCAGGTCACCCCACGACAACACATCCCAGTCCGGGCCACCCCACGACAACACGTCCCAGCCCGGGCCACCCCACGACAACACGTCACAGCCCGGGCCACCCCACGACAACACGTCACAGACCAGTCCACCCCAGGACAGCACATCACAGCCCAGGCCACCCCAAAGTAGCCCAAGACAGTATCACACAGTTCATGTTATCCCAATGTGGCTCAGGACAGAGTGAAGTTAGAACCCACCCCAAGGTTTACCATTGCTTCAGTTCATCTTGGCCTCTTTTCCCTCTGAATATTCTATCAGAGTTCAAATTACATAGGTTTCTTATCTGCTAAGCACCCTGATATGCCAGTTTCAACCCTACAGGAGCCCACACTCAAAAGGGAAGAGAAATGCACGCTAAAGAGTCATGGGACACCCACTGAGCCAAGGTACAGTGTGTGCTTAGGAGCATGGGTGGTGGGGTGGAGCTCTTCGCCAGTCACCTCATCCATGTGATGTGAGGAGTGAAGATGGCGACACAAGCATTGTGCAGCGCCTGCTATCTGGTAAATGGCTAATAAACAGTAGCCACCATGTCTCTGTGTGTGTACATAAGAGAGAGGAGCCACATAAAAGAAAAGGGAAAGTCTGGGAAGAATCTATCTTCTTTGCCTAAGCATCTATAGATGCTACTGGAAAGTTTGTTTATTCACGCTATGAGGGAACTGTATAATGTGTTCATTTCCAAGAATTCTGGTGGTGGTGGTTAGGTGCCATGGAGTCGGTTCTGACTCATAGTAACCCCCCTGCATAGGGTTTCTAAGGCTGTAAATCTTCATGGGAGCAGAAAGTCTCAACTTTCTCCTACAGAACAGCTGGTAGTCTCCAACTGCAGACCTTGGGGTTAGCAGCCCGACTTGTAACCACTATGATACCAGAGCTCCTAAGTACTCTAGTATTGCAAAATAAAATGCACCTGTAATAGAAGTTTAAAACATTATAAGATACACATTTCAAAGATCCCCTGACACTGCAAAATAAAAAAGGAAAAAATACACATTTAGCTCTTCAGGGATTAACTAGCCATACTCAAAGTGTCACCTGTTGCCTGTTGCTCTATTATGAGGGGGCTTCAGATAGTCTACGGAAAAATGGAATTAAAGAGCTAAATATATATGTATGTTTTTCTTTTTTTATTTGCAATGTCAAGGGCTCTTTGAAGTTTTTAACTTATTATAATGTCCTAAGTTTATCTTACAGGTGCATTTTATTTTGCAATATAAGAGTACTTGGAAATGAATGAATTATGCAACTCCTCATAGCATGAATTATGCATCTCCTCATAGCATGAATTAACAGAAACTTTCTAGTAGCATCTATAAATGTTTCCTCCCAGCTGTGTGCATAACCATGGCAGCATTAGATATGAGACTATATCTCAGGGTCATCAGTGAATCAAAAGGGAAATGCAAGCCACACATTTGAGCGTATGAAAAAGAAACATAAAAGAAATAAAAAAGATTGGTTTCATTCCATCCTCTAGACAAGGATATGCCTAAACCACCAAAGAGACCAATTTCTATTCTCTACTGTTATTTTGGAGTCTTGGTGTGGCATTGCAGGATAATGCACTGGACAAGGTAGGTTCGAACTGCAAGGTCAGCGGTTCAAATCCACCAGCTGTTGTTCCTCAGAAACCCTATACAGGGTCACTATGAGTCAGAACCAACTCAATAGCCCTTAAGAACAACAATTGTTATTTTACTTACTTGAACATAGTCTTTCGCACCTCCCCAGTGCAGTTTTCCAGTATTTCAGAAATCTGGCCATCAGAAAGGTGCTGTTGTTTGCTTATTTGTTTTCTCTTTCTTACTTATCTTCTTGGATAAGGAAATTAATATTTGACCCCACGGAAAAACGTTTATCAATTAATGAAATATCTTTAGATAGGTAATAGACCGCAATTACCCCTACACGAATCCTATATTCATCTGTTCCCAACTTACAACAGGACTCTATTCCTGTGTCATAAGTCAGTTCTGATGTAAGCTGAATACCTCTCTTTTTAGTTTAATTTTCACTAATGCCTTTAATTATCATTATCTTTATAAATCACTTAGAGACCATCTCTAAGTGAACATCTCAGAACACCAGAAAATTACATGCTGCAATACTGTATGTAATACACATTACAAATAAGATGTGCCCAACCAACAATAGCTGGTGATAAGTGTGGTTTATCGTAACCTTACGTTGTAAGGTGGGAACTACCTGTATAGCAAAATCTAAATGGACTTCTGTAATGCAGCAAATTACCTGATACAGCTCTTCTATAGCCATAGTCTTTCCAAGTCCTGGTGTGGTGATGTAACAACAGTCATAGTCTTTGCTCTCACCAAATGATTTACCAACAACAGCAGCCAGTCATTTGGTGGGAGCAAGTGTTGTTAAGTGCCTTCAAGTTGGTTCCGACTCATACTTACCCTGTATAGGGCTTCCAAGGAGCAGCTGGTGAATTTGAACTGCCTACCACTTCTCTTGTGGTTCAGTGCTTTATGCCACAGTGCTACACCAGGACTCCAATGACTGGGGGTGGGGGGGAACTATGCAAATATGAGGTGTTCATGGTCCACCAAGGGTATTGGATGGCTTACTAATAATGGAAATACAGTACATGGCACCCTGGGGGGGGTCATGGAAACAAGGTGTATAGAACTCTAACAGGGGGATTGGTGAGTTTTGTCATTCCACTAATTAAAACGAGTCATGTCAAGAGCAGAACTGGAGGATTTCAGTACCATCATGAGGAGGAGTCGGGGTGGAGTGCATCCTTTGGATGTAGAGATTCCTGGGCTGAACTTCCAGGAGACAGAGAGTGGTGACACCACAGACAGCAGCAACAGAGACAACAGAACCAAGAGCATGAGACAGAGCAGTGGGCTTCTTGGCCCACACAGAGAAAGCTGAATGCCTTTGGGCTGAGGCTTACAGGCAGAGTAAGCCCAAGCATGACAGAAACTAAGGAGCCACAGGGCTGAGAGGTCAAGAGCTAAAGGAACTTAGCAAAGTTTGCCCAAGCAGGCCCCAGGCTTAGGTGTGCCTGTGAGCATGGCTGAGTGGAGGCTATCCTGACGGAAGATCTATAGCTTGAGCATTCCTGATCTTGAGTTGCAAACATTTATTTCCCTTATAAACCCCACAATCATAAGTTTGGTCTGTGAGTTCAGTGTAGCTATTGCAACGAATTACCGAATGCATCAGATGAGGAGAGAGTGCTGTAGGAGGGATGGCTGGGGTCAGACCTCCACCTTCTAGGAATTAAGGCTAATTCCTTAATTAAAAGCAAGGCTGCACTGGTGTTGACTTTAATTTCCCTTCCCTCGTATGAAGTCAGAGGAGGTCAGACACACCACTTTTACACATTCCCCCCAGCAAGAATTGTGAACTTAAGGAAGAGCATGAACTGTGACAACACCAGGAGTCCTTGGTGGTGCAAACAGTTAATGCATTCAGCTGTTAATCAAAAAGTTGAAGGTTCTGAGTTCATACAGAGCCACCTTGAAGAATGGCATGGAGATCCAGCCACTGAATACCTAATGAAGCATGGTTCTACTCTGACACACATGGGGTCACCACGAGTTGACTCCATGACAATATCCCCAGAAGCTGGCCTGGGGTCAGTTCTACTGGAACTGCCACCAGGTAACACCATCGTCTCTCTGAGTCTGAGAGCAGTGGCATCTCAGACTCGCAATGCTTGTACAGGAAACACAAAAACCATTTAACGAGGCTATTCAATATCCATCAAAACTGAAGAGAAGACTATCCTCTTGAAAATGAGAATTTAAACTAAGAAATGCAGTTGTAGAATGTGGACATTATACATAATTATTATAACTCTATCATGGAAAGTAGAGATGGGGTGAGGCCTGCTAAAAACAACTTAACAGAAAATTCCAGAGAGCTTGGAAAGGGTCCTGTCATTCTATGTACCGCTATAGATGGCTCCTTCTAGGAGACTGATATACATTTTAGGTTGTCTTGTCCAGTGTGCCTCTAGTTCTGGATTAGTGAAATCGCCATGTATGATGATGTTGTTCTAATTAGTTAACTAAGAGTTATTCTCACAGGTACTGCTGGGCTGGAATGAAATAGGACCCTAATTATATCAGAATAATTTAATTATTCCAAATAAGGAAATACCAGCATTTTTAAGGTGGGTACACACAATTCAGATAACATAGATATAGACAAGGCAACAACATTTCATTCAAAGTATTCATATTTTAAATGGTTCCTGGCAGCAAAGTGGGCTAAACACTGGACTGCTAACTGCAGGTTGGCTATTCAAACTCACCATCCACTCAGAAGCATAAAGACGAGGCTTCTGCTCTCATAAAGACTTCGTCTCAGAGAGCCTAAGGAACAGTTCTACTACCAACTACAAGTTTCTGATACCTTTACTCCATCACCCTGAGTGGTTCTGACATCTATGTACTTGCCGTATTTCTGTAACAGTTACATTTCCAACAGTGGTCAGGCAACAGTTCAATTTCATTCAGTCAGTCTCTCCTTTTCTCCTTGGAGGTCAGTGAACTGCCCATGGCATTTACCACACATAGCTCTGCCTCCAGTGGCCACTGACTATGCTGAAAACCAGCAGCATCCCATGGTCCTACAGAGTCAGTGAGTAATACAGGAATTGAACATCTCCGCTAGTTTAGAAGTCAGACTTGTGACCATCTCATTCTCCTTAAGAGGAAAGTGAAACTGTGTCTGAATTGTTTACTGGTGTCCCATGTTTCACCCATAATTTTAATGAGATTGGATTTTTTAATTTGCAGTCTTCAACACAGTGGAGGAATCTTTCAGGGCAGGGACAGTGTCTGTTGTGAAGGGAGGGCAGGGAGGCTGCAACACACAACCACCAGACACAC